GAGAGAGAGAGAGAGAGAGAGAGAGAGAGAGAGAGAGATAGAGAGAGAGAGAGAGTAGCATCTAAATATTATTCAAGAAATATTTATTAAATTATGTTGAAATTTAAATAAAATAAATTTAATGAAATTAAATTTATGAAAATTAATACAGGAAATTATAGCTATAACAAGAATTATTGATAATTGATTAAATTTATTAAAATGTAGTTATTTGACATTAAATTTAGAATTATATGTACATGAGTTAAACTTCCCTAAATGAAGAGAAAAGTTGATAGAGAAATGAAATTGATCAAATGAATGGAGTCAATAGATTGGAATAGACAGGAACAGCATTTAATGGATACAAAAATGCAAACCGAATAATGTCTATAAAAGAATGAAATTGACATCAGAATGGAATATTTAGATTGAAATGGATAAAAAAATGGAATGGAAAGATAGTAAAAGAATGTAAAGGATAGTATAAGGAATGTTAACATAATGGGTCCTTGTCCTAAGAAAAAATTGAAAGGATTGAATGCGGGATTGAATGGATGCTAAAAGAATATTAACGAAATAATCCTGTACCTAAGAAAAAATTAAATGGATTGCAGAATGGTATAGATAGAATGGATTGGATAATAAAATGGAATAGATAGGGAAAGAATGGAAAGGATAGTGAAAATAATATTGTTAACCTATGAAAGAATTTAAGGAATCACAGAAATGAATTCAGAGGATAGACAAATGGAATAGACAGCAAAAAAAAATGGAATGGATAGCAAAAGGATTGTTAAAATAGTCGTGTCCCTACAAACTACTTGATCTTGCCTAAGCCTTGAGTTCCTTTCGAGTTATGCAGAAGCAGAAACCTAATTAGTGAATAAATAGCTGTAGCCAATGCAAAGAAAATCCAAAATATATTTATGTATGCTCAATGATTGCCTCGTAATTGATTTCTCCGCCATTAACAAGAGCTTTGAGTCGCAGCCAAATGAAATTGCTTTGCAGTCTCAGTTTTTATTTACGCTGCAGATATTTTAATTATTGCCATGCGCCACACATACATTTAAGTATAAGGCTGAAGTGGAGCGCAGATTCCCCCCTCTGCACACGCACTTTTCAATTATGGGAAATTTAATCAACATTTTGTGCGCACAGCTAAAGTTTAGAGCATAAATTGTGTGTGGCATAAAAATTAAAAAAAAAAAAATAAATAAAAAAAAAGAGGGAAAAAAGTGTAAATAAATGAAACTTAATTTCAAAACTGACGTTGTCAGCTGCCCCTGGCCCCCTTGGCCCCCTCTGGACTGGGCTCGCATCAAAAATGCGCATTTTTATATAAAAGTTTGTTTGTATAAGTGTGTGTGTGTGTGTATATGTTTTTTTTTATAGTGAAGCTGCCAAGTGGAAAAAGCAAACGGCGCAGAAAAACTGCTGCAACCGCAAGAAATTAAGAAAATATTCACTTAGTCACTCGCCCGACGCCTTATCTGCAGGCAAACAGCCGCGACACCACGGCCAACAGTCGACATCTTGCCTCTTGGCCTTGCTTGAAATCCGCAATAAACCAACAGGCAGGAAAAGGTGAGGGAAGATGGGAGAAATCCTGCTGAAAGGACTTTGCCTGCCATTGAAGTTGGGCTGAGTGGAAGCGCTCTGGCATTAACTAACTGTCCGGCAACAAAGTTTTCCGGCAGTGCAGTGCAACAGTTACTCGGAATAGAAAATTCTAGTGAAATACCGGAATGTCCAGCAGGAGTGCAAAGCTAGAGCGAGGAAAACTATATTATTTATTGTGATAGTGCGCATTGGGAATAGATGAAAGATTAGGGTTTCCTGGAATTAGGAAATATCACTTGATATAGTTAGCTTCTGTCACACTTCTCATGCTATCTGCCTGCTAATGAATATGAATTTGATTTCAGTTGAAATAAATTGTCACGATATCTCAAATAATAATGGAAATGATATATGAAGGTGAGAAAGAGAGAAAGAGTGAAAGAGATATTGAGATCGTATAAGGGAGGAAATAAATAGTCAAAAGCTGATTTAGAACGAGAGAGAAAAAGACAGAGGTGAAGATAGAGACAAAATGATATATGAAGAAATAGAGTGGGAGAGAGATGGAGTGAAAGAGATAATGAAACAGTGTGAGGGAGAATATACAGTAGCCAAAAATTGATTTAGACAGAGATAGATAGAGAGAGGGAGAGAGATGAGATTAAGACTTTAAACAGAAACCAAGCTGAGAGAGGGAATTGAGACAGATCTATTGATTAACTAACTATTAGAGCTATATTTCCATTCCTCAGTTACCTTCAAGCAAACAACTTTAAATCGTTCCAGTTTTCTGTATACCCCATTCGTGTTGGTCTGAAATCTGGCATCTGGAACTCGCTAACAACTTGTTTTAGGCATTCCAATTGACTTAATTTAAGTGAAATGCGAATTGCGAAATGCGAGATGCAGTCCCGCTCTCTCGGCCTCTCGTCTAATCGCATTTTAATTGTGCTGCAAAATAATATTTAAATTAGTTCGACAGTAGACACTGGCAGCGGCGACCACCAAAGCGAGTGGAGCAGCTATTAAATATGCCTTTGTAGAGCTCGAGCTGGGACCTAATGGGCTGCCAGCATGCAACCCAGTCGGCGGCTCAAGGACAAGGCAGGGGCAGCCAACATCCTATACATACATATAAATTACTATATATATACAAGTGTGTGTGTGTGTGAATTTGACGAGTTGATGTAGCAACTGCTGCTAGCCACGGCAAATGGAAATAGAAAGCCAAAGCGCAAGCCAACTGCAGCTTCTGAGACAATTTAACGAGTCGTTGAGTCGTTGCTGTGCGCTGCTGCATTCGGGGATTACTCTTGAATGCCTCAATTCAGCTGCAGGAATTTTAAATGCTCTGGCAACGAGGCGCACAATAACCGAAAGGAATCCACAGTCCATGCCATTCCTTTGTTGAGCTTTATTGAATATCTTTGTCAAATATTGATTGGATTCTGGTTCGTTGATTGAAAACTGGCGACAAGTTGAAAAAATCGATTCGCGGCCTAAAACAAGCTGGCGAATTGATTAAATGCTGTTGAGAAGAGGCTTGTGTCGTAGGTTTGTGAAGCAGATTTGTCGAACTTTTGGCGCGGGATTAGTATTCGGAATATATTAAAGTACTTATCCTTAGATCTCTAGATATCTCAATATTTTGTATAGCTTGGAGCTCGTTTTTTATTTTTATTTTTTTTTTAATTTTTTGTATGATATTATTTTGCTACACGTATGTATAATGATTTTGTAAAAATGTATACAATAGGCAGAAGGAGGCGATCAAATATATTTATGTTAGTCCGTATAACTAAGAGATCTCGTGGGTTACTAGAGCTAGACGGTTAATATTTCAAATGTTGATTCCTATATAAATACCATATGCATTCTGAGCTTATCTTTAATAAATTTTCGATAAGTCTTTCCATTTCTTAAAGAAATCGATAAGTATCGATCATTTCATATCGAAAATTCGATATATCACTTCATATTAACTGTGTGATCTTTCGTTATTTATACAGACTTTGTTTAGTACGGATTGTGAATACCAGACCGAAATAGTATATGTGCGAATATGTATATATGTTTCTAATTTAAATTTATGTATGTAAAGGAATCAAAAGCTATGCATAATTGATATACAAGCGTATTGCTGGATTCTGTGTTTATGCTAGTCTAGCGGTCTCGACTAGAGAGCTAGTCTTTGCAAGAATAGACTAATCTTCAAGATTGTAAACTCTGCTGAGAGGCATATGATATTGAAGCAACAATTGCAGCACAAAGCTCTGCTATTCCGTATGCAGACAAAGTAAGAAGATTGTTTGCTAATTCATAAAAAATATACAAATACATTTTTGGTTCCCCAGTTCTTGCAAAGAGTTTCTCCTTTTCACTGCTCAGTTAAAGGACTAAGGAATTCAGAGTAGACGCTGACTCCAGTCGCTCTACTAACAGACTCTAATCAAAGAAGTTTCAGAGCTTAGTAAAATAGTAAAGTGAGCAGCACTAGTCGAATGTGAAATGATGAAAGAGCCGGGAAGTTCTCGCTGTGCCAGCTCACTTTTGCGTATTACCTTGTTGATGACTAAATTATGACTAATTAGTCTATAGAGTGATGTACATATAGTATAATACAATTACAGTTATACGCTATACATATTCATAAATCACTTTATAGCTGTCTTAACTAGTGATAATTCGAGTCTCGTGCTCAAAGCAGCTGAAAATTTTATTTTTTCCCCTTGCTTCAAGTTTGCTTTAGCTGCGACTGTTGCGATATTCGCTCAAGCAGCTAAAACTGGTTTATGCGGCTGTAATTGCCAAGACGAGTGACTTCACGGATAAATTATAAGATATATATAGAGGCAAATGTATATATGTAGGCATATGCTTGAATATTTTTGCAAACGTATGCAAAGGCAGAGGCTGGGCTGCCTTAGAAAACGATACGCAGCACTTGAGTGTGGCTGTGAGTGGCCCCGATATGAATATATATATATATATATATGCATGTATATATATAAATATACATATATACATATATATATATATATGCTTGAGCGGGTTGCGGCACTCAAAACTTTTTGAATGCGCGCCGAGAGGCGAGCATGTGGCAGCCTCCAATTTTGCTTGGCTGCTGCTATTGCATCTTTGCTCGAGTGGTAAACATGCAACACTCACACACACACACACATGCACACAGACACAGACAGAGGGAGAGCAAATACACCTAAATAACGTAGCATACAAATGGGGGCAAGCCAAGCCAAGTCAACATGCACTTGTGGCAACAGCAACCGTAGCAGCAGCCCTGAATTAAGCTTGGCATGCCACAGCAGCAGCTGCTACAGCTACGGCTACTGCTGCTGCTGCTATGCCAACTGGGAAAACTAAGACAAATAACTTAATGCCTTTTCTATTTGCAGTTCAAACAATAGAGACGCTGCCGCTCTGCCACGGGGAGGCGCAACAAAAGTGCAACAGCTGCACGGCAAAACAACTAAAAACTGCAACAAAAGCCCAAAAGTCAAAGTAAACCCAGACAGACGCAAAGAGTGCAAGAGAGAGAGAGACAGAGACAGTGTGGGTAGAATGTGTAGTGCAGAGTCTACAAGGCAGCTTAAAGTGGCAGCAGCAAACACAACCGGATAATAAGCATAAGAGCCAACAACAACAACAACTATAACCAGCACAACAACAACAACAACAACAACAGCTGCAGCTGAAGGCGCTGGCGTAGCGCAGGCCGTGCCCAGCATTTAAATAAAACCAAGAAGAAGAAGAAGAAGCAGAAAAAAAAAACACATCAACCAAAAGCCAAAACCAAAATCAAATCCAAATCGAAATTCAAGCGGAAATAAGGCAGAGCGAGAGAGAGTGAGGCAACGAGGTGACGTCACAGCGCCGCTAACTAGGACACTCGTGCCGCAAAACGCAAAATCTCGTTAGCCAGCACAACGCTTGCATCCTCAGCATCCGCTTGAATATTCACATCCGCGAAATGGTCTCTCGACTGGGCCTGCACTCGCTGCTCGCCGCGCTGCTCGTGCTGGCGGCGCAGCTGTCCAGCGTGTGCGGCGTCATCGATCGGCTGGTGGTGCAGACCAGCTCCGGGCCGGTGCGCGGCCGTTCCGTAACGGTGCAGGGTCGCGAAGTGCACGTCTATACGGGCATACCCTATGCCAAGCCGCCTATCGATGATTTGCGCTTCCGCAAGCCGGTGCCGGCTGAGCCCTGGCACGGCGTACTCGATGCCACACGCCTCTCGGCCACCTGCGTCCAGGAGCGGTAAGTAGCGAGTGATGATGGATGGCGGGCCTGGGTGTGGGTGGGGGTGGGGGTGTGGCTGGTCATAGTTAGTTAGCCTTTGAGGGTCCACAGTCTCTGCATCTCTGCAGTTGCAGTTGACCTACAATGGAACAGTCGCTGTTGACCTAACTGTTGCGAGTGACGTCATTGCGAAAACGAATGCCGGTCAAAATGTTGAGCAAATGTATGCACAAAGAGCGTGCATACATACATACATACATACATATATGCATGCATGCACGTCTCTGTACACACATATTCATGCCATATTCATTTAACATTGTGAATAGCACAAAATGTCAACACTCCAACGGCAAATGGGATTGATGCATTCGCAGCGTTGGGCACTCAAAGTGCAACCTATTCAAAATGCCCCAAATTCGGTTGGGAAAATAGATGTGATTCAAAGCAAAGTCAAAGGTGTGCATGTGATCACATATGTAAATTAAATTCGTTTTAGCTGAATGGGACCGAGCAGTCTATGTAAAAGTTCATCACAAAGAAACATTAGTACCGTTCTAGATAAACTATATTACTTAGAAAAATATCTAGATATTAGAGAGATGAATGGTTTACAATAGTATATATGTATGTGCATGTTCTATATGATATTTGTATTCAGAGGATACTTTGTACTGCTTTAGAGAACAAAAGATTAATGATCATCAGGAACAATAATATTATTAATAATAAGAAAGAACAACAAGTAGGAGAGATAGAAATTAAAAAAAAAAGAAACATTTAGTTATTTTGAAGTATATTTGAAGTTATATATAAATAAGTTTAATTGGAATTAATCCCCATCAGAAATAGACTTACTGCCCAAGAAAACCTCAGTAAATGCCCAATTATAAACTCCAATTGATCTTGTTGATCACTCAAAATCCTCAGCATAAATGTCTTAGTTATGTGTATAATAGGCAATATAATATAAGAAATCTTTATAGATTTATAGATAGACTCTAACTTTCTATATATGTATATAGAAAGATAGATACATAAATATATATGTAGATCGATAGAGAGATAGATCGATAGATAGATGAATAGATATATAGATATATAATTCTATAGATTGATAGATAGCTAGATAGATGCATAGATAGATAGATTAATAGATGAATAGATGCATAGATCGATAGATAGATCGATAGATAGGTAGATAGACATACAGATGATTAGCTATAATTAAATAAGATTTGATGATGAAAGATAGATAAACAGATGAATCGATTGATTGTTCGTTTTGGCAAACTTTTTCATAATCACGAATGAAAATTTCAAGTTCCCTTTTGGTAAATAAACGTCCAGCGCAGCTCTTAGACTTAATTAAGCAATGTTTCTGTACATACAAACACACAAAATAGAAGTAAAAATATATAAATCGACGACGAATAAACAGTTGTCTTTTAATTAAGTTGAAGAAGATATTGAATTAGATTTCTTTCAAAATTTCTGCCAGCAGAAATCGAATGAGCTCATGAATACATTCTATATACATACATAGTGGCATTCGATTGACACAGGTATATTTGATTAGGTGATATATGTATATAGATATATAGTATATAGTGTCTCCATTAGTTGGCTGCCAACACTTTGAAGCCCGTTGAAAAAGAAAGCAGACAGTTTGGTCGATATATTCGGAATGCTTAAGCAAGTGAAGAGGCTAGCAGTTGGGGGGGCCAGGGGCAGGAGCATATATTATATCAATTTCGGGCATATTGAGTGTACCTAATAGAGCGACTAGCCTAGTCATATGTTGTCTTTTACTTAACATAAATCAATTAGCCTCAACTAAAGCCCACTTTCTACCAGCCACAAATCAGTCTAATGAATTTCAAAAGCCATACTCATTTGCCGCACGCTCGAATGTAACATAACGAGTGTGTGTCTGTGTGCGTGTAGAGCTTAACGGAAATTAGACAAATATAGAGATACAAATAGAGATAGGGCAAGAATGAGAGAAGCGGAGACAGAGTAGAATCGCCTTTTCCGGTTTGTTATAAATTACTTTTTATGCGAAGTGCCAAAGTTAATTTCAATTGACACGAAACCAAACACACCTACAGAAACCTAGCTAAACGGATATGAATATATTGAATCACACACACACACACAACTATGTCTATCGTTCAGCCTGTATATGTGTATGTATATATATATATATTTATATATCGATTCGAAAGAATTCAACATTTATAGGGCAAACGAACTATGTAGCTAAAGTCATCTGACTACGAGTGTGTGCGTGTATGTGTGTGTGTGTGCCTGCGTGTGTGAGTATGTGCTTCTGGTTTATGGGCTTGTGTGTGCCCTCGAAAAATGGCACAGAAAAAGTAAAACAGGTAAATCAGAAGAGCGCAAATAAAAATAAATAACACAGCTGGTTACATTTTTTGTTGTTGCTCGTAATTGGCACGAATTACACTTGAAGAAATTGCTTGTGCGAAACTCGCATGTAATCTGCGATGAAATCTAATTAATGCATATAAATGTGTATGAATCGCATTTGATGTAGTTAACAGTTTTGCTGATAAACATTAAATTTGCTTTGGCTAAGAGTCGCTGAAGTAGTTTATAATTTAGTTACAGTTGAAGTTAGTTAAGCTCTAATATGCCGGACCGAGAGTTGTAAATGAAACTTGTATACCCTATATAGTTAGTGTAGACTAAAAATAAAATCTAATTTATACAATTATAGTTGAATATATTGTATAACATTATTATATATAGATATAATCCAGAAAACTCTAGCACTTCTTTCAGTAAAGCAAAAAAAAAAAAAAAAAATTAATTTTTGTATTGTATTTATTTTTTTATCTATGACTTATTTTTACTATGACTTCATTTTTATATTTTTACTGACGCATTTTTATTTCAAAATAAGTAAAATTTGGTATAGAATTTTTGTGTTTAGCAGTAAAATTAAAAAGTTAATTTAAGTTTAAAATCAGTAATCATGGTATTTTTTTTTTTTTTAATTATTTTTTATTCTATAATTTTCAAGTCTGTCTATAATTAAGCACAGAATTACATTATTATTATATTTTTATTGAATTATACTTATCGTTGCATTATTCTTAGTTTGGCATCTGAAATGTTGGCACCAAATCAAGTTTTCTTCAGTTCGTTATACTTGTGAACGCTGGCTTAAGATCCAAGCTACTCAAATTGCTAATGCACTGAAGCCATGATAAAACATATACTTTAATATATTTCATTTTATGGAAAGAAAGTTCAACCGACTTGGAAATGAGAAATACTTTTGTATTTGATTATGTAGATTAAAGTGTTCTTAACTTAAAGGCAACGTAAGCCACTTAGTTTTAAAATATATATTTTGAGGATATGAAAGATGAAAGGCATAGAAAAAACTAAAGAAAGTTAATAGCAAAGAAAAATATCTAATGTAGAAGAGGATTATGTCCTCTGAGCGCTCTTCATTCTCTACTGCAAGAGCTAGCAGATATAAGATCTAGCTAGGCTGTTTGAGTGAGATTTTGGTCTCACTACCTATTTTTACATTTTGTAATCCGTTTACAATTTAAAAACATAGTTGATATACTATTTATTATTTATATTTGATTTATTTGTCAATAGCCTTTCAACTGATTGCATATCCTTTTCTCTTCACTCGTTAGCTATGAATACTTTCCGGGTTTCACTGGGGAGGAGATCTGGAATCCCAATACCAATGTATCCGAGGACTGTTTGTATATAAATGTGTGGGCGCCAGCGAAGGCGCGTTTGCGTCATGGGCGTGGCGCCAATGGAGCCGAGGTATGCACTCTCTCTCTCTCCCACTCTTTCTCTGCCCTACACTGTTTCTCTCTCTCTCTCTGCTAGCACTCGGGCAACAAGCAGACCGACACGGATCATCTCATACACAATGGCAATCCGCAGAACACGACCAACGGGCTGCCCATATTGATATGGATCTATGGCGGTGGCTTCATGACCGGCTCGGCCACGCTGGACATTTACAATGCGGACATCATGTCCGCCGTGGGCAATGTGATCGTGGCCTCGTTTCAGTATCGCGTGGGCGCATTCGGCTTCCTGCACCTGTCGCCGGAGATGCCGCCCGAGTTTGCCGAGGAGGCGCCCGGCAATGTGGGCCTGTGGGATCAGGCACTGGCCATACGCTGGCTGAAGGACAACGCGCACGCCTTTGGCGGCAATCCTGAATGGATGACGCTGTTTGGCGAGTCGGCCGGCTCGAGTTCGGTGAATGCACAGCTCATGTCGCCGGTCACCAGGGGCGTGGTCAAGCGTGGCATGATGCAGTCGGGCACCATGAATGCGCCCTGGAGCCACATGACATCCGAGAAGGCCGTCGAGATTGGCAAATCGCTGATCAACGACTGCAACTGCAATGCATCCATGCTGAAGGTGAGTCCGATCCTCTAATCCCCCAATGAACCCATTTTAACCACTGCCCGATTAGACAAATCCCGCCCACGTGATGACCTGCATGCGCGCCGTGGATGCCAAGACCATATCGGTGCAGCAGTGGAACTCCTACTCGGGCATACTCAGCTTCCCATCGGCGCCGACCATCGATGGCGCCTTCCTGCCCGCTGACCCGATGACTCTGCTGAAGACGGCCGATCTGAAAGGCTACGATATACTCATGGGCAATGTCAGAGATGAGGGTGAGTCTTAGTTGATTACTGTTGAGCGCTGCAAGAGCTTATTTATATGCGAAGAGCTGCGAGTGAAGTGTTTGATGCATGAAGAGTTTGAAAATTTTCATAGCATACTTTTGTGGGATCTGAGAGAAAAGTTTGCAGGTCGATGTATTATTCGTATATATTGATATATAATGTCATTTGGAAGCATACTCAGCTTCTTTCAGCTCTATAAGCTATACATAGCCTGATAAAGGTATCTTTGATAAGCGACTTGCGTTAAGGCCAACTCAAGAGAACTACTTATTCGCTTATATTGATCAAATATATATACTCTTATACTTCTTTAATATATACTTCTATATGCTACTATATAATATAATAAAACTCAAACCTCCCCTCCCCTCTACATTGTATCATATTCAAAATAGCTATGCAAAAAGAAATACTTAAATATCTCTCTCTCTGTTTCTCTCTATCTCTCAGAACATTCTCTTATCAAACAGTTCCCCCTCTCTTGTGCTTGTTAAATAAAATGTGTTTCTGCAACGTCGCCAACTTTTCACTGGACTAGAAAAACAGTTTTCTTTCTCTTTTTTTTTTTTTTGTCCGCTCTGAAAGCAGTTTCATGCTGTCTTTCAACTCGGGCTGCAAATATCCTTGAGCTGAGCAGTTGCTTACTTTTTCAGCAGCTTTTTCATAGAGTGGACATCAACTTAATCAAACTTAGCTCGAGCTCTTGTCCACTGTTTTTTAACCAGCACGTAAACCCCATCTCTCTCTCACTCTCCCTCTCTCTCTCTCTCTGTCTCTCTCCCGTTCCGCCTGCACTCTGTCCGCTTTTAGCCAACAATAGCCTATCCGTCCGTCTGCTCTGGCGCTGCTCCGTTGGCATTGTTGCAGTTTTATTTTTGGCATCGCCTTTGATGCTGACGTCAGCAGTGTGCCAAATTTTCGCAGTGGCTGCAACCAGTCGCCATTTTGTTCATGTTGCAAGTCGCCCCTCCGCCCTCCGCCCTCGTCCCTCGGCCCTCTGTCCCCATTTCGACCACCCGCTGTCGCATTTGTTGCAGCTGCATCCATTTGTGATTTTATTACTTTTGTTTTCGTTTTCGTTTGTTTCTTTGTTGTTGTTGTTAATGTAGATGCCACCGCATAAGCCATGCTTTGTTGTCCTTTCATGTTGCTGGCTGGTGTTTTGGTGGGCGTGGCTGGTGGCCTCTTGGCCGCTTGGCCGCCTGCTCGAATGCTTTATGAGCCATAGTACATTACCGGCTTAGGGACAAGTTTTGGCCCGGCTTTGTACAGTGCTGCCACACACACAAAAATGCACTTTGTGTAATGGCTGCGGCTTGTGGCAGCTGCCCCCAGCTCCGGAACGTGCCACAAATCAAGCAAGCTTAAAGAGAACCTCGAATCTAGAGTCGAATTTGTCAACGCAGCTGCAAGCAGCAGCAGCAGCAGCAGAAGCAGCAGAAGCCAAATCGAGCAGCAGAAGATGGAGCTGTGCCCCGCTCACACGCATGAAATTCGCAAGGAGCTGAAGAGGGTTGACGGCAGATAGGGTGGGGCGGGGGCGTTCTGTTGGAGCTGCCATTAAACTTGTCAGACTCGTGCACGCAACAAGCTCGCCCGGAGAGGTGGGGGGCTGGGGCAGTTGGCGTCACATCGGGGGCAATGTCAGGCAGGAATCATGCGGGCGCTCAGCTGTGCGAAACGACATCATAAATTATTTAAATATATTTATATATACATATACATATACATATACCGTTAGCTGCGGCAGGCAGCTCAAAAATAACAGTAAAGCATGTTGCATCCACGAACCGATTGGGGCAGCACACGTGCTGCTACTCGAACGAACATGACACGATAGCCAAGTTAAAGAGCTTGAAAATAAATAATGAATAGAACAAAAACACTTAGAATGCAACTTAATTTATACAAAAAATTGTTTTACACAATAAACTTTTTAATTTGAAGAAAGTATACAAAACAAATACTTTTCTGGAAAATTAATAATAAAGTAATAATAAAATTAATAAAAAATAATTGAATTGAAAATAAATTAATTAATAATACAAATAAATTAATTAATAAAAAATAAATTAAATATATAAAATCAAAAATAAAATAAATAAAAAATAAATAAATAATAATACATATCTTCTAAATAATAATTTATATACAAATGTTAAATGTAAAATATTTGTTATATGAAATTCCGAAGTATAAGGAGTGAAATGTTGAATCTTAAAAAAAATATTATAAACGTATATATGTACATCAAAGAAGAATATTGCTTTTCCATATTTGTATATATTAAATACATTAAACATTGCGATATGAATATTGAATATATGAATATTACTTTATTTATTTCTCATTAAAGCTTAAACGAATTTTTGAGTCTTCAAAATTCTTTCGTGTTCCTTTCAAACTAAAATCATTTGAATATTGCGATATGAATATTGAATATATGAATATTACTTTATTTATTTCTCATTAAAGCTTAAACGAATTTTTGAGTCTTCAAAATTCTTTCGTGTTCCTTTCAAACTAAAATCATTTGCCTTGTGTTCAATCTATGCAAGATTGAAAGCCATTTTAATCAGCATTCAAGGCATTCACACACACACACACACTCACACACACAGACACACTCGCATGGACAATTCGATTCCTCGAAACTTGTGTTGCCATCTTGCTCTGGCCTGCTGCGTGCTACATGCATTGTGCTTTAAATACCGTTTGATTTTTAAGCTCTCAAAGCAAATGTTCAATTGAATCGTAATTTCTTCATTTTTTTCTACGCTCAAGTTGAAAAGAATGCAATGTTTTTTTTTTTTTTCGTTTTCTTTATTTCTCCTACTTTCCTTTTTTCATTGTATTTTCTACTTCAGCGCCTCTGTCCGTTTCGCATTTCGCTTGCGGCGACGGCGACGGCGTCGGCTGCTGCGTTTCCCAGCATTTGCCGCGTTTGTGTTTGCGTTTGCTTTTGCGTTTGCTTGGCCTAACGGTAATGTTAACGCTTTGTGTGCATTGTTCGCATTATTCGTGCCATGCCGCGCGCTACTTAAAAAATTTCCGTTCGTTTTGCTTTCTCTTTCTCATTTTGCGCGAGCTATGCGTATATCACTGTGCATGTGTGTGTGTGTGTGTTGGGTTTGTTTTCGTATAACAGATTCTCGCTCGCTTTGTGTGCTTTTTTCTTGGGCTCGCTTCGCTTTCATTTTGTTCTTCTTGTTGCCATTGCTGCTTCGTCATTTCCAGGCGGCAGGCACCGAAGCACACTCACTCACACACACACACACACTCACTCACTCACTCACACATAGAGAGAAACGTAAGCACTGGCACTGACACACGGCTCCGGGGCACTGGCGCTACAGACACGTGCGCTTTTCTGCTCACTTTCACTCATTGCTTGCAGCTGCTGCTGTCGCCTTTGCCTGGCTTTCTGTCTCGCTCTTTCGCTTCTTCAGTCGTGTTATTGTTTTTGTTTTTGCTGCATATTACTGCCACTGGCGCTGCTGCCTGCTACTGTTCTCTGTCGCCGTCGCTGCTGCTGCTGCTGTCGCTGCTGCTGTTGTTGTTGTTGTTGTTTCTAGCTGAGGTGTGCGTGCCCACAACACAACCACAACGATGGCTACGACTCGCATATAACTGTTTCTCTATGCGTGTATGTGTGCGTGCGTGTATTTGTGTTTGTGCTTGTATTTGTGAGTTCAAGGTCATCTAGCATTCGAAACAAAACACAATAGATTACAATGCGCAGCTTGCATGAAAACATCTTAATTCTATTGTTTGTCGTGGGCTTCCACATTTGAGGCCAGCTGTTAACTTGGTCAAAATGTTGGCGGTAATAACATCATTACTCTGTAGATAGGTTTGCAAACTTTTATTTTTGTTTGATTATCAGTTTCACTAATTATTCAATTACTTATATATATAATATTTATTTTTAGATTCTCTCAAAGCCTTTTCTTGTACAATTCGACCTTTTTCCATTCCGGCTGAACTTTTTGCCTATATACATATGTATGTACATATACATAGGTATGTAAGATATAACTGCAAAAAGTTGGCCATTCTAATTTAAAGCGAATTAGCCAAATGCTTGTTCCTAGACTGCTTAAACATTAAGTATACGTCATGTCTGGTCGCTGCAGCTGCTGCAACTAAAATGGTCTTTATGACCTTGAATAAAATTGGCGAAAATTCAAGGAAAATCACTAAATGTATAAATATATATTTTTTAACCAATTCAGTGAAAGGTAAAGGATAAGTCCCATCAAGACTTAAAAGTATTTATTAAATTAAAGAACTTTAAAAAAATTGAGGATGCTTCAAGTAAGAAAGCAAGCTAAAATAATTATTATGGAAACATGTAAACATATGTATGTATATTTGCATATGCAGTAGACTCCGGTTATAGCGACGCTCAAGGAAAGACTCTATAAGTTTAGAATCCTTATAGCCGGTTTCTACTGTATAAAACAAATAAAAATATATACAAAAATATATATTAAAAATCTTAAACAAATTGATAAACTACAAAATTTAAAACAAAATAGAAAATTTTGGCATAAATCTAGAAATTGTTATTGAAGCAACATGCATATAAAATTAATAAATACAAATAATATTTAAAATTAACTAAAGTAATTCAAAAATGTTTACAAATAAAAAAAAAAAAAACTTTTATAAAATACAACAGCCTTAGTTTAGAAGAGTTTAAAAGTAGAAAACTCATTTAATTACTTATTTAAATATTAATAAAAATATATATAGAGTTGTATAATTATTTTTCAGTTTTTTCTCACGTTCTGTCTTCAATTTGAGTGCCATACATTTATTTAGTTGATTGTTTGCCTAGTTCCTAACCACTGTACCCACTCTATATAAGAAATCTTCATAATTGTTTAATCAATTTTTGTGTGGCGCAGCTCGATATTTACATTAAACACAAATTCATTTATGTTAAACGCTGAGAGTAAAGAGTGTGTGTGTGCGTGTGTGTCTCAGTGTGTGCGTGTGTGTTGCTGTTTAAATTTAATGCGTAAACAAAGCTCGTTTTGCGCATGTTTTTGCATAATTTTTGGAGCTTGAACGAAAATTGAATCAAACATCAACAAATTGCTTGCAGTCAAAAGTTTTTTTTTTTCTTTGCTGTTGTTGTTGTTGTTTTTCTTCTTCTTCTTCGTTGTTCTGGGACCACGAGGCTGCTGGGCGTGTGTGGGTTGACACACATACACACACAGGCACACAGCTATTGGCTATTGTTGTTTTTGCTGTTGTCGCTGGCTCATAGGCAGCAATTATGGCTCGTTAGTGTGTTCGTATTTGAAGTGTGCCAGAGACAATGCCAGCAGCAACACACACAACAGCAACATACGACAACAACAGCAACAGCAACAACAACAATAATGGCAGCTACAGTAAACATAACAAGCGACGACAACAACAAGTGCCATAAAAATTAAGTTAATAAAAGGCAACTAGACGCTTTGTTCTCGCCCTTGTTAAGGCTGTTGTTGCTGTGGTTGATTTTGTTTATTCTATTTCACCCTTTTGTGCACCTCAACAACAACAACAACCACGACGACTATTGTTGTTGTTTGGGTTAATGCAGCGTTTGGTGTCCTTGGCACGGCTCGTTGATTGCGCCCCTTTGGCCACATCGTAGTGTCAATTGTTTTAGATTTTGCCCACGTAACATGAAGACTTTACTTCATATCTGTCTAGGCCAAGTTTTAATCATATTTTCATGTTCTCTCTCTCTCTCTCTCTCTCTCTCTCTTGCTTGCAGGCACTTATTTCTTGTTGTACGATTTCATTGATTACTTTGATAAGGATGAAGCCACTGCGTTGCCACGTGACAAGTATCTGGAGATTATGAACAATATATTTGGTAAGGCCACGCAGGCGGAGCGCGAGGCTATTATATTCCAGGTAAGCAGCAATGCACACGTATACACACACACACACACACACACACACACGCACATGCTCGCACTGCATCTGACATGTGCCTATGCCAATGTCGAAAGGGGAAACGCATCGTTGGCTTTCTTTGTTGCCCCAGCTGTCAGCTGCAGTCAACTTGTGCCCCAATCTAACCACACACTCACACACACACTCTCACACGCACACACACAGAGAGAGGCATAGAAAACTTTTCAGCTCTTGCAGTGCATTTGGCCACAATTCCCACTCTGCCACAGCCGCCGCATAAACGAGTTAAAAATCTGACGTCAACTTCTATGAAACTGCATTACGCAAATTTATTCACTCTGTTTGCACTGTGGCAGGGGCAGCAAATTTAATCAAAAAACACTGAAAATGCGCAGCGCATTAAATCGAATTGCAATTGCAGCTAAGCGACTCGCCAGATATCGCACTAGACCAACTGCAGCCCTCATTTATATTAAGTAGAGCTGTGAGCTAAGCCATCCCTCTTTCCATTTCCAACACAGCTGCAATCCCATTTAGCATTTGCTTCCTGATTCGAGAAGGATGTAAGCTAGTTAGATGACATCCTAGCAGGACTTGCAGCTGGCTAGCAAACTGAAGTTTAGAGATTTACCCAATGGAAAGAAATATGACATAAATATCTTTTAGAGAAGGAAGAGGAGAAACTTGTTTGTTTTTATGCTGAAAACTTAGTAGATATCAGGTGTAACCCTCCTGAAATCATATTCTATTCCCCTTTATAGAAATTGATTTTATTATTTACTAAAGTGATTCCTAATTAAATAATTTCAAAGATAATAGCAACAATGATATGATTTAAGTTAAACTAAAATAAAACATGTATTTAAATAGGTATATGTCTCCGTTGCTTCAATCTGGCCATTGTTCATTCTAATTTGATCCGTTTAGAACAGAGTCCATTAATGAAATTTACGTTTCGCCATGATTGGCAATGTGCTTAAACAATGTTAATTTCAAGCCATCATTAAAATTATTACGACCCGGCTCAGATGGACTAAATAGCTCTAATTCAATTATTCACTTGAGCAACAGCTTTTATTACTTCTCTCTCTCTCTCTTCCTTTCTTTTTAAAGATAATTGAAAAGGTAGATAGATAGGTAGAAGCGTAAAACTAAGAAAAAATCATCACTCGTATTATATTTTTGCAACAATTACAGGCAATGCTAAGAGCCTCAAATCTATACTGAAATATTACTAATAAGGGTGAATCAAGAACAACTGGAAAGCTAAGCAAAAATACTCATATTGTATTAGAGATACGACCTTCATAATAAATAGATAATACATATGTATAAATTCCTTGGCTAAGCCAACTCCATACACAACTCACACTGTCTTATCAAAACTTTATATATTATATACTTCATTTATACATATATGCTTGAAGCTTAACTGACTAACTCTTCCCACTCTTCTCCCACGATTTTTGCAGTACACCAGCTGGGAGGGCAACCCGGGCTATCAGAACCAACAGCAAATCGGACGCGCTGTGGGAGATCATTTCTTCACGTGCCCCACCAACGACTATGCACAGGCGCTGGCCGAGCGAGGTGCCTCCGTGCATTACTATTACTTTACACACGTGAGTAGCTCAGGTGGCATATGGGTGGTGCTGGTGGTGGTGGTGCCTGACCATTGCACGCAAATCATTAAATATTTCACAACCTTTGACACGTAAGACGGCGTCGGAGCGCGTGTGTCCAATCGAAATGCGGTCAAATGGGGCCCCACTGTTGAAAAACGAGTCACACACACACGCATACACATATATGTATATTTATATATATATATATGCATAAGCGAAAAGAGAGAGAGAGGGAGAGCGAAAAAAAAGACGGAAAGTAAACGCAGCTACGTCCAATTTGTTTGTCATTAAAATTGCACACAAGGCTAATGGCGAGCAGAGCCTAAGGGGTTACCTGCAACAGCAACAGCAACAGCAACAACAGCAGCAACAACATCTACTTCAGCAACAACAACAACAACAACAACTGCAGCAACATCAGCGCAAAGGCTACTGATGACTGTCTGCATTATTTATGCCTGACGAATGGCTGCAATCTCATAGATTACATGAATGCAGATTTTTTTTTCTTTTTTAATGCGCACTTTTAAGTTGGAATATCCTGTAAAAAGAGAAAAATTACATAATTGAGCATAGCTGGAAAATTGAGTTGTTTAAAGGAATATCTGGGAATTGTAGAGCATGAGAGCGAAGCAGCTAAAAGAGACGGGAGGAGATGGGAGACGGGATGGACAGAGAGAGAAGTAGATGGAAATAGACGGGAGAAGATAAGAGGAGACGGAAGTAGGACGGGCAGAGATGAAAGGGGACGGAAGCAGGATGGGAGAAGATAAGAGGAGACGGAAGTACAACAAGATAAGGGGAGACGGAAGTAGGTGGGCAGTGAGGGTAATAGACGGGAGGAGATGGGAGATATAATAGAGAAGACGGCAGTATATAATACTCTGTTAGTTCTTTAGGTTGCATTGCTTCCTCTAAGCTGAGAATTCAAGTTTGAATCATTCTTCTTATGATTCTTGAATCATTATATTGCTTTTTATAGACCTGGTTAGCTTTACATGTAAAAAACTGAAAGGAGAATATAATTGGAGTAAGTTAAAATCGACAAAAAGTCTGTAGAATAGAAAAATTATTGCATATGATTTTAGATTTAGTTCTTTATTTTTGTAAAAATTATGTGTAGCACTCCATACTCCATATAAGAAGAAAATTTAGTTGTGTTAACTTTAGGCAAGACTATGAAAGCGTAAATTTATTCCAAGAATATAACTTGCCTCAAGTTCATATTGAATCTGTCTTCGTTCCTTGGAGCACATCTACCAAAGGATATGATAGTTTCGTATCTTGGAGTCATTTCGTTCACTGTTACAAAATAGTCTAAAAGCAACTATTTGAATAATTCCCATACTGATTTAAGCTCACTTAACCATCAGCCCTCATTACTTAGTTCTAGACAATATGAAAAAAGAACTTTATCAATTTTTAATTCAGCTTACGAGCGTTTTAATTAAGCAAATTAAGCAAAGTTGAAATTGATTGAAAAGTTTAATTCAACTTTTCACTGGAAGGTAATGATTGAAAGTGTGAAGTATAAATAGAGATCTATAATTAAGGCTTTTATAGACACAAACTATCTTAGAAGGCGTGCCTAAAAGCGTAAGACATGCCTTAGCCTTAAAATGAGCTATGTTCAATTTTTGTTCGTTTTTGATTAATCAACTTTATGTCGTTGAAGCTGTTGTAGTTCCTGTTGAGGCCATGTCAGAATTCAATTAAATTAAATTTCGATATGCATATGCCGAATCGATATCAATATGGCAACACCTTAGAGTTTTGACACCTCTCACCGGGGCCGTCGTCGGCGCTGTCTTCGAGTGGGCAAACAAACAAAGTTCTGGCCAAGTTCTGGCAACCTTGGCCGCCATAATTATGGTAACAAAAACTTTCGCTCAATACACGCCCATAAACGCGCACACACACATAGAGAGAGAGAGAGAGGAAGAGAGTGGGGAAGGGAGAGGGGCTGTGTTGGGAGGGAGCACAAGGACAGCGCCAATTAAACTACACGCACTGCCTTGTTGTCCTGTGGCTGTGCCTGTGCCTGTGCCTGGGCCTCTGCCCGGGACACAGACACATAGCTCGAGCACGAGTCGAGAGTCGCGTCCAGCTGTTGCCAGTGTGTGCGTGTGTGCGTGTGTGCGTGGAGGCGGAGGCGTGGCAGTGCCTAATGAAACTTCAATTTACGAGGTCACGGCCTGTACGGCCCGAACGTGTGGGGCATAATTTGAGTCAGTTATTTGCTTAAAGGACTGCGGCTGCTGCAGGCCTAATGATTAACAAATAGGGAGTACGCCCAGCCCCCAGCCCCAAACCTGCTCCACGCTCCCGCTATAAAACATTAAGTGTACGCCCGCTCGGACCCTATCGATTTTCTCTCAGCGACAATGCGTAAATGTTAATAGGTAATTACAGCTGACAGACGATATTGAGTCCTTGTCCTTCCATTGATAAATCATAATAAATAAATGTGGTATACATGTATATGCATGTATGTGTATATGCATATAGCTCAATGCGCCCGCTCTGGCCCACATAAATTAGTGTTTTGGTCTAAAAAATCAATATTACGCATACGCCACGTGTGTCTTGAGGCGAATGTTAATCAAGAACTTGCACTCTCTCTGTGTGCTGTGCTTGTCAAGTCATTAAATGTGATTGTTACTGCGGGCAATACTCTCTCTCTCTCTCGGTATTATGGGGGGTATACTGGTTGTCAGTTGTTAGGGGAGTGAATATAGGTACATGTATATACATGTATATAGGTCTGGCTGTGCAAATCCTACGAAATCAAAGAAACGTTTACCTGAAACATATACAGTTTGACATTCACTATTTGAGTTTAACGTTTGGTTGTCATGATATATTATTGAACGAGATAAACGGGGTTTGATTGGAGTGATCTTAATATTTAGCTGTTTAAAAGTCAGTCATGTAAATTTCGAATTTATGGACTTTTTTTTTATATATTTAGGGAGAAACTTACATTTTGAGTTCCACTAAATTATTCATTGGATTTTTAGTTAGTTCTCAAATCTGTGACTTGGTCATACAGTTTGAGAATCACTTAAAGAAGTTGTAACTTTAATTGTTTGAGAGTTACTTCTTTGAAATGTGAGTTCCTACACTCAATAGAACGGAATTTAAAACAGCTTGAAATGCATCGATAAATAGGTCTGAAAGTAACTCAAACTGTAAATAGTCTTTTCAATAAGCCTATAAAATGTGTATATGTTATCTGTAGTCAGTTGGATGTTATGAATATGTTGTCTTTATTCAGTTATTTCAAGCTACAGTTTCAGTGTCACTCAAGTGTATCTACAGTTTGACAGTTGCCTTATCAGGAAGTTTTCGGTATTCATGGATATGAATTCCCTCCACACTTTAAACATAGTTTGAGAACCTCTTTCGATCGTTAAATTATCAGGAAGTTTCCTTAACTCATAGATATGAGTTCCCTCTGCACTTTAAACATAGTTTGAAAGCCACTGAGTCAGCCAGCATACATTCCTTTGATCGTCTCGATCTAAATAGACTTTAAGGTCAACAACTCCAGCTACAGTTTGAGCGTCTCTCCATTGTGCATAGTGTTGGACAATCAATGAAGCAGAAAATATGTTCCTATCGATGAATTTTCACTGCCCAAACACAGCATTGTGCAGCTTCAATGGCCCCAGTGCCAACTCTTGCCACTGGTCTACTTAATAGAGCGCACGAGTTGGCCAACAGTGCGTGTGCAAAGTAAACGTACAGCCGTTGCACTGGCCCCATCAAATCGCCTGCTCATAATCGAGCAGCCAGCAGCAACAACAGCGCAGCCAGCGAAATGAAAAGCAAATGAAATTAGTTTTAATTACAGCCCTCAATTGGCTGCAGCGAAACTCGTAACTCATTTTGGCCATAAACGAGAACTGGCCGTGGCGACCTTTGCCACTGCCGCCTCCTGCCACCGCCGCCGGCCTCCTGCTGGTCGTGCTGGCAAATGGGGTCGCCAGCTGGACAGCTGGACGTTGGAGTGCCTGGCAGATTGTCTATTTCGATGGCTGCCAGTGGCAACACTTGACAGCCTCTTGCCAGCTTCTGCAGCGACGTGCAACGTGCTTGGCACTTAAATAAGTTCGTTCTGCTGCCAATTGCCAATGCTCGTGTCCGAGCTTTAATCAAAAAAAAAAAAAAAAAAAAAAAAAAAGAAGCGAGAAAAAAAAACGAAACTTTACTTTTGCCGCACAATTCTTCATTATTTGCGGCTCTCTTTGCTACTCTTTCACTTTGTCTATCTCTCTCCCTCTCTCTCTCTCTCTCTCTCTGTGTGTGCAATGGCGCATAAATTGTAAGGAGCCTGGCAGCTGCAGCAACGGGGCGCCATGACAACAACATTATCCCTGTGCATATCCCGGCTGCAATTCATTAGATGACTTGGCCAATTGGCTGCCAGTTTGCAGTGGCTGCCAACAGCCAAATTGCTTAAGTGGACAACACTTGAATATAACGCACAGTGGTGCAGATTCGGCATAGTTTGCGGGAATTGTAGAACTCTCTATATATGTATGTATGCGTGGTATTTTTAGATTTTCAGTGAAATATGTTTTGCTATAGTTCATTCTTATTTTATGAGAGAGATTTTAATATCTATGTAGAAAAAATGTTTTGCTTGACTGAACTCAATTTTAAGGGGTGTACCTATTATTTTCATCATGAGTGTATAAATGTATATACTATATAGCATATATCATATATGTATATAGATGTATAAATATCATTATTATTACAAAATCTGTCTTAATAAATCTCTCTCATTAAACTATATCACTGACTCTATATAAATATAGATATCATATGTCATATAGATGTATACATATATCAGTTGTCTGCTCTCGAAAGAGATATTTCATTCATTCATTTTCGACAAATTTTCATGTTAAGAAATTCATAACTTGACAGATTTCGTTCAAGCTATTCAAAGTCATGAATATTGCAACTCTCTTAATATAATACTATTAATATAATATTTAATCTAGTCAAATACATATTTTTGAAAAAATCTCTTTTTAAATATTTTTATGAATCTAAAAATGCATTAAATATATCCACATTGTATATAGCTATATACATATTATATTATATTCAGGCTAGCTTTGCTCGGCAGTTAATTAAAATTCATTCACTGTTTGGCCCAGTTGGCACCACTGTGCACTTGAGCTGTCTATCAGTTGCCATAGACTTCGGCCAAATTGCTGTGGTTTTGTGGCTTCTCTTTGTTGTTGCTGCTGCTGTTGTTCTTGTTGTTGTTGTTGTTGCAGTTGGCTGTTGTGGTTAATTAAGGTATTAGAATAATTAGGAAATTGACTGGGGATATATCCAGCAATTTTAGTTATCAATGCAAGCAATGCATATGTGCGCAATTAAATGTGTTTATAGCCACGCATCGCTAGTAAAATACTCTATCCTTTACCCATGTCTCATTCTGTTCCCTTTAAGTCTCATGTAGTAAGCAGCTGGCACATGCAACTTGGCAGCAAGTGTTTCCAGCGACCAAACATTTGTTATTTATTCATTTGCTGCGCTGTGCTACATGCCCAGTAATAATGGCTAGCTAAGGGGTGTAATGTGCTAGGCCTTAGCTTGGGTGGATTGAAAAAGATAGTGGAATATATATATACTCCTTTTGATATGAAGTAATTGAAGCTAACAGAGGCATTGAAAAAATATCTATAAACTAAATTTTGTTTAAGTTATATGGGGAGAGTATAGGGAGTGTTTACATAGAGAGTATAGGAAGTACAGGGAAATAGAAAAAATACTCATAAGAATTGTGGAATAATCTGTAGTCCCTTTCCTCTCTATAAATATTCTATATTTAGACTACCTCTAATTTCAATTAAAATAAATCCCAAATATTTCAACATAAACTCATCCGCCGCCAACAGAGCAACTGCTAGTTGAGCATACCCAAATGCAGCTTTCTGGTATTATTTTTCTGTTGTTTTATGTTTATTTTTGGGCTCCACGAGATGCTGCGACAATATTTACAATTTGCAGAGCGCGCGCGAGCGAGCGAAATCAAATAAATAAATAAAAAGGGTGGATGTTTATCTGCATAATTTCTGGCTAAGTTTACGACAATATTATACCCACTCTCATACGCTCTCTCACTCTAACTCACTGTGTCCCTCCTCTGCTTTTTTCTTACATACCATAGCGCACCAGCACCTCGCTGTGGGGCGAGTGGATGGGCGTGCTGCACGGCGATGAGATTGAGTACTTCTTTGGTCAGCCGCTGAACACATCTCTGCAATATCGACCTGTGGAGCGGGAGCTGGGCAAGCGTATGCTGAATTCGGTCATTGAGTTCGCCAAGACGGGGTAAGCTTTCGCCGAGCTTTCATTTAGCAAAGCTTGCCATAGCCAACGAGTTGGCTTAGCGAGTACACAAACCCGTTTGCTATAATGCGAGCTTTCACTGCTTCTCCCACACACGCAGCAATCCGGCACCGGATGGCGAGGAATGGCCGAAATTTTCTAAGGAGGATCCCGTGTATTATATCTTCAGCACAGACGACAAAATCGAGAAATTGGCACGTGGCCCGCTAGCAGCGCGTTGCTCCTTCTGGAATGATTATTTGCCTAAAGTTCGAAGTTGGGCAGGTGAGTAACAAATTTGATATGATTGAAGCTATACGTCTGCTACAAATGTGATAATTGAAACTAATCGTGGCATATATATGTTGTCTTGGCTTATGTATATTGTACTTTGATAACACATTCAATTCTCCTGTGATAAGACTTGCGATAATTAGCTTAAGAGACGCTTAAAGCTTAATCTTAGCTCCACTCTATATAGACTCTTGTGAATATTATCTGCAATTAAGTGGGAGTGTAAAGTCATACAAAGATTTTACTATTTGATAAGCCTCAGCAGAGCTCTACTTGACAATCGAATAAGATTCGCAACGAACAGAGCATTAGTTGGTCTTGACTACCCGTTTGTAATATCCACTCTAATCTTTTTTTCTTTTTTATTTTTCATTGCGAAATCTTCTTCTGGTTATTAAGTGCTTTCAGGCGACAATTCGCAACTCACTTTTGTTTCCTTTTCTTTATGAATTTTTGTCATACAATTAACGTACACTTGATAGACATATTCTTTATGTGCGACACACGCCTCTAGCTGTTGTCTGGCTGTGACTGTGCCACACCTCAATAGCTCGTCGTGCGAGAACTGCTTCTGTCCAGATACACTGCAAAGTGCATAGGCAATGTGCTCGATGGAGATCTGAGAGTGGGAATTTGATTTTTTAAAGGAATGTGATGAATACGAAAAATATGTTCAAATGGCTGAGGTTATATTTGATATGCAGAATGTATACATCAAATTTAAATTATTCTTGGATTATTTGATGATATTTTTAGAATAATTTCTTATTAGGCTATAAAGTTTTGTAAGCTATTCTAAAAATCTATTGTCTAAAAATCATTTTTGTTTTTATTACTACTAATTAACATTTAAAGATTTATTTATTTATTTTGTTTTTAATTTTACTTTTAAGTTTATTAATTTGCCTTAAAACGTAATCAGTAATATTTAAATATTATTATATATATTATAAAATCTCTAGAAATACCAAGTATATATTTATATTTCAATTATGTTTGACTTGAATACTTTCGTTTATCTAAAGAGACTTTTACAGCGTATAAAAATTTCGACTTATTGGCATTTCATTTAATTTTTATTTTTTTTTTTTTCGATTACACATTAAGTGTATGAATTTTATTTTCTCTGATCGGGTCTGGCAGCGCGTTTCAATTGGCACGAAATTTAGTCAGTTCCAGGCTGAGGCGTGTTCCATTTAAGCGTCAGATTGATTGAGTATCAAGCAATTACAGTTATGTATTTATAGTGTATATATAGTGTATGTATGTAGATGTTTTATTTCTTTTGGCAGTTAGTCGCAATCGTGAGTCAGACTCGTGGCGATTCTCTTTTTTTTGCTTTTGCTTTTTTTTTTTTGGCCATTTCATTCCGGTGAAAGATTTTTATAGTTTTGCTCTTTTTTAATTTATTGCATTTATGCGTAGCAGCGTTCACAATTTTATTTATGGCTGATGTCAGTATCTTAAAATGTGCTCATCAATCAGTGAAATGAGTTTCGCAGTCTCAGTTTCTCAGTTTCTCAGACGTGAACCGACTCATCGGCTAGCTGGCTAACTGGCTAACTGGCTGTCTGACCAACTGTCTGACCGAGAAATTAAATTTAAATAAGCAATAAGCGACCACAGCATGCATATGCATATGCTTTCCAGCTGACAATGATAAATCAAGCCTCTTATACATATACATATATACATATAAACGAGTATATATATCAAGCATATAGTTGAAAGAGAAGTCCAACTTGGAGTCAAAGTCAATGCGACAAAACTTGCTAATATGCATTAGTAAAGGTGGGCGTCAGCAGATTGTAAAAGTTCCTTTTATTTCATTTCTGAGTCTCTTGGCCCATTAAAATGCGTGGACAAGTTTTATGGTGCCAGGTGAAAGATGACTCGCAGTCACAGTCGCAGTCGCAGTCGGCGTGGCAATCGGAGTCGCAGATGGAAACGACTTTTGTCGCGCCACGATGTCTGGTCTGGTTAGGTTTTTAGTCTCTGGGCTCTCTACAGCTCGTCGATCTGATACAAAAGGCAAATTAGTGTTTCACAAATTAATAAAATTTAATTTATGTTAATTTCGTGTGCTGTGTGAATGTGTGTGCGATTATTGTTAAGCATCTGCTTTATACGCTTTCGCAGAGTATTTGAATTTTATCAAGCAACATGTAACACAGAACGAGATAGATCTATATGAGGCTAATTTTCTAGTCAATCAAAAGATTTCGAATATTTATCAGAGTTGCGATAGTTCATCAGTAAAAGTATCTATGGTAGCTGAAGGGTATTTCATATTCGGCATGCTGGTGCTTTACTTTGATTTTCGTTCACGATTTTACATAAAAGCCAGCAGTTCGAGTATGCAAATACATCTGGCACGCGGGGCTCCCCTCTGAGCAAATGGGCTGTGCCGGTGACTGGTGAAGCGATGCGGCCGGGAATCGTTTAGGCTAAGGGCCTATAACTGAGCCATCAGGCGCAAAACTGGCCCACAAGTAAAAGCTGATTTGCGCCGTGGTAACTGCTTGTGGTGCTGGTGCTGGTGCTGGTGGTGCGGCGACTCATTGTGGTTACCGGTTCTATGGTTAATTAATTAATTTGCATTTTGATATGTTGCGGTTGATATTTTATGGGCAGCGCGGAGGAGCGCTTGCCAACACGCGCCTCATTTGCCACAATAAACATTTAAAATTTCACCGAAAAATGTCAGCGCTATATGTGTGCTAATCCATTTAAAATAACAAAAAGAAGACGAAGAAGAACAGATCCAAACTGGTAACGCGCGTTCGTCCTGAACGTACCAGACTAGCTGGCACCGCATACACTCGATCAGTTTATCATTATTGACAGATCACATAAGTGACAGGCCGAGGCTTACGACCTGGCAAAAGATACCTACAGATACACACAGAGCAACAGCTACAATGATACAGATACAGATACAGATACAGATACAGATACAGATACAGATACAGATACAGAT